AACTGGAGTACGTCCTCGGAGCAGTAGGAGCTCACCCAATAATCCATTATCAACCAAATGGGAGTTTACAAAGTGTTGGCAATCTCACAACCCAAAACCCCAATACACCCAATAACTCTCACTCACCAAAGAAACAAATAGAGAGGGAAATATAGTGAATAATTTCATCTCTATACAAAGCTCAAAGCTAATACACAAATACAACTTTGATTGAGTGAGTACCAACAAAGAAAGAAATCACCTTTCTTTCTTCTCTTTCTGCTCTCAGTTTTCTGCTCTCTGCAGCTCACTTTTCTCTCTCAAAGATAGGCTACTCAAACTGAAAAAATGGTGCACACTTCCTCTCTTTCTCACTTCCGTATATTCACTTCATCAATACAAAAGCACCCAATAAAAAATTCAACAAACATAATCATGATGCCTCCTCATCATGATGTTCCCTCATCATTTTGTCTTTCACCTTTTTGTTTCTTTTGGTTTGTTTATTAGCCGAAAGTTGTTTTGTTTTGTTGTCCACTTGGCCACTTATTCAACAATCTCCACCTTGGCCAAGTTTCGAAAAACGCCATGATAAGCCAACCAACACAATTAACACACAACATCACTCCCAAACACTAGCAAGAGAACAACTCATGCCGAGCCAAATGCTCCAAAACTCCTATCGCTCATCGCCTTCTTTATATAGGCAAAATATGAGCCAAGTTCAAGCAATGAACAAACTTGGCTACACCAACAACCTTAGTCAACATATCAGCGGGGTTGTCTTTAGTTGGAATCTTCTGGAGAATGATTTCCCCTTCACCAACAATTTCACAAACAAAGTGATAACGCACATCTATGTGCTTGGTCCTCGCATGATGAACCTGATACTTAGCCAAATAAATGGCACTCTGACTATCACAATGTACCTCCACCTGCTTCTGATCAACCCCCAAATCTCTAATCAGCCCATGTATCCAAATGGCCTCCTTTATGGCTTCAGCAACTGCCATATATTCAGCCTCTGTAGTAGACAAGGTAACAGACGACTGCAAAATGGACCTCCAACAAACTGGTCTTTTAGCCATAGTAAACACATAGCCTGTAGTAGACTTCCTTCCATCCAGATCACCTGCATAATCTGAATCAACATAACCAACTGCAAAATGACCAATACCAGAGTCATCCCTCTCAAAGCATAAACCAACATCTCGAGTATCATGGAGATATCTCAATATCCACTTAGCTGCTTGCCAATGCTCTTTACCTGGATTATGCATATATCGACTCACATGCCAACTGCATGAGCAATATCCGGTCTAGAGCATACCATTGCATACATCAAACTACCAACCAAATTTGCATATGGTATATTTTTCATTTGCAGCTTCTCTTTATCATTTTTAGGACATTGTAGAGAACTCAATTTAAAATGAAGAGCCAAATGGGTACTAACCGGTTTGGTTGAATCATGAACTCCAAACTTCCGAATCAACTTCTCAAGGTATTGTCTTTGATTCAAACTGACCAAACTCTTCTCTCTATTTCTAGTAATCTCCATGCCAAGGATCTTCTTTGCTTCACCAAGATCCTTCATCTCAAACTCATTCTTCATTTGTTTCTTCAATTTCTCAATCTCTTCAACATTCTTTGAGGCAATCAACATATCATCAACATATATCAATAAATAAATGAAAGACCCATCTTGCAACTTCTTGAAGTACACACAATGATCATATTGACTTCTAGAATAATTTTTGCCTCTCATAAATTTATCAAACCTCAAATACCATTGCCTTGGAGATTGCTTCAAGCCATATAGTGATTTCTTCAATTTGCAAAACAAGTTCTCCTTCCCTGTCACTATATACCTATCCGGTTGACACATATAAATCTCTTCATTCAAATCACCATGTAGGAAAGCCGTCTTCACATCAAGTTGCACAAGCTCAAGATCATAATGTGCAACAAGAGCTAACATAATGCGAATTGAGGAGTGCTTCACAACCGGAGAAAATATTTCATTGTAGTCAATGCCCTCCTTTTGTGCATACCCTTTAGCAACTAATCTTGCTTTGAATCTCACATTGCTTTTCTCATCAGCATCTTCCTTCTTGGCATACACCCATTTGCAACCGATAGCTTTCTTGCCCTTAGGCAATTTAGCTAACTCCCAAGTCTTGTTCTTCAAGAGAGAATTCATCTCATCACCCATGGCATTGCACCACCTCTCATTTTCCTCACTCTCAATGGCTTCCTCAAAATTGGATGGAATCTCATCAGTGATAATAGGAAGAGCAAAAGCAACATAGTCACTATACCGAGTTGGCTTGGTAATTTGTCTCTTTCCTCTGTTCTTGGCAATAGACTCTTGAGGTGAAACTTGCTCTTCAACTTGAATAGAATCTTCAAGCTCAACTTCTTCAACATCCTCATGGTCTCCAACTTCTTCACTTGTAGTTGCTTCGACATCAGCGGAAATAGGATTTGAAGTACCAGAGGCAACTTTCTCAAGCTCCACCTGTTGGACATCTTTCACATTCTTCTCAGAGTCATTGAACATACTTTCTTCATCAAATGTCACATCTCTGCTGATTACAAGTTTTTTCATCTCTGGGCACCACAACCTGTAACCTTTGACACTGCTACTAAAACCAAGAAAGATAGCCTTTTTGGCTATAGGATCAAGTTTATTTTCAGTCACATGAAAATAAGCAGGTGAACTAAAAATACGGATATAGTCATAATCAGAAGAAGGTTTTCCAGTCCATACCTCCATTGGTGTCTTACCCTGAACAGTAGTTGAGGGTAACCGGTTGATGATGTGACATGCATAATTAACTGCTTCTGCCCAAAATGACTTGCTTAAACCCGACTGAGACAACATACATCTAACCTTCTCAAGCAAGGTTCGATTCAATCTTTCTGCAACTCCATTTTGTTGTGGAGTTCTCCGAACACTAAAATGTCTCACAATTCCTTCTTCTTTGCAAACTTTAAAGAAAGGATCGGATGTGTATTCACCACCATTATCCGATCTCAAAATCTTAATCTTTCTCCCAGTCTGGTTCTCAACCATTTTCTTCCAACCCAAGAAAATGCTTAACACCTTACTCTTGTGCTTCATAGTGTAGACCCAAGACCTTCTTGAATAATCATCAACAAAGGTCACGAACCAATGTCTACCACTCAAAGAGGGAGTCTTTGTAGGACCCCAAACATCTGAATGCATATAATCAAGAATGCCCTTCGTCTGATGTACAGCAGTACCAAACTTCACTCTAGTTTGCTTCCCCAAGACACAATGCTCGCAGAAATCAAACTTACAAGTCGTGGCACCTTTTAGAAAACCTTTTTTCACAAGCCCTTGTAGAGCTTTCTCACCGGCATGGCCTAATCTCATATGCCACAGTCTAGTAGTATCTGAATCAGATGTGCCCATATTTTCAGAGACTACAGATGCTTCACCTGTCACAGTACTTCCCTGCAATAAATACAAATGGCCACATCGAGGAGCTTTCATCACAACAAGTGCACCATAAGTAACTTTCAATGTATGTCCATTTGAATGAAACCTGAAGCCCTTGGATTCTAAAGTACCCAAAGAAATAAGATTTTTCTTCAAATTCGGTACATACCGAACACCTGTCAACTCTTTAACCATGCCATCATGCAACTTCAAATGAACTGTACCAATCCCTTTTGTTGTGCAAGGATTGTCATCTCCCATGAACACAACGCCACCATCAAACTCTTTCAAGCTTGAAAACCAATCCTTATGAGGAGTCATATGATGAGTACAACCCGTATCCAACACCCACTTAGTAGCACAATCAAATGATGAGGAAGTGGTTAAAGCAAAATCAGAAAAATTTGTTTCAACCTCAGCAACATTAGCTTCAGAACTTTCTTTGCCTTTGGTCTTCAACCTAGGACAATCTTTCTTCCAATGGCCCTTATTATGACAAAAGGCACATTCATCCCTTTCCAAAGTTTTTCTACCTTTAGAGTTTCCTCTAGGTCGAGATTGTGATTTTTTCCTGCTAGAAGATGATATTCTTTCCGATGATCTACCTCTAACAAATAAAGCTTCAGAGGTACTATCATGGTTTTTATCTCTATGCCTCATTTCATAATTCATCAATGCATTTGACACATCTTCAAATTTCACAGTTTCTTTACCATGCATAATAGTGGTAACAAAATGCTCATAAGAGTCCGGCAAGGAATTCAACAATATTAAGGCTTTATCTTCATCCTTAATATCCTCATCTAAATTTAATAAGTCGGCAATCAACTTATTAAAAGCATCAAGGTGTCTAATCATTTTTGTACCTTCTTTGTATTGGAAGCGGTAGAGTTTTTTCTTCAAGTGTAGCCGGTTCTCTGCACTCTTTGTCATATACTTGTCTTCCAATTTTTGACACAACACACTTGTTAATGTCTCCCGCATCACAAAATACTTCTGAGTTTTTGCAAGGCACAACCGAATTGAAGAGCAAGCCCACAAATTTAATTTCTCCCATTCCGGCTTCGACATAGCTTCCGGCTTCTCTCCCAAAGCGGCAAGTAGATCTTGTTGAGCCAACACATCTTTGACCTCACATTGCCACATCCCGAAGTTGTTTGTGCCATCAAACTTTTCCACTTCGAACTTTGCATTTTGCACCGTAGTTCTTGCAAACCCGGAGCTGCTTCCAAAAGGATTCTCATCTTGCCCGTCTGACATCTTTGGCAACTAGACAGTACCCAAGAGCAACCAGTGCTCTGATACCAATTGTTGTGCGAGGATAGCACCAAACCCGTTGGAACCAACTCAAACAAACCCACAGGAAATTTATCAAATGAAAATGCAAGAACAAAATATTAAAGACACCAAGATTTTAACGAGGTTCCTCAACAGTCAGTGTAACTGGAGTATGTCCTCGGAGCAGTAGGAGCTCACCCAATAATCCACTATCAACCAAATGGGAGTTTACAAAGTGTTGGCAATCTCACAACCCAAAACCCCAATACACCCAATAACTCTCACTCACCAAAGAAACAAATAGAGAGGGAAATATAGTGAATAATTTCCTCTCTATACAAAGGTCAAAGCTAATACAAAAATACAACTTTGATTGAGTGAGTACCAACAAAGAAAGAAATCACCTTTCTTTCTTCTCTTTCTGCTCTCAGTTTTCTGCTCTCTGCAGCTCACTTTTCTCTCTCAAAGATAGGCTACTCAAACTGAAAAAATGGTGCACACTTCCTCTCTTTCTCACTTCCGTATATTCACTTCATCAATACAAAAGCACCCAATAAAAAATTCAACAAACATAATCATGATGCCTCCTCATCATGATGTTCCCTCATCATTTTGTCTTTCACCTTTTTGTTTCTTTTGGTTTGTTTATTAGCCGAAAGTTGTTTTGTTTTGTTGTCCACTTGGCCACTTGGCCACTTATTCAACAGTAGCTTCATCGGCGAGCTTCCTAAGGTTTCCGAGATCTTGTGTTCGCCTAATGAGTATTATAGCAGTGACTGTCACGAAAAACCCTGCCTTGCAGATGAAGTTTCCTGTTTGCCCGACAACCCCAATCCCCGTCAAGGCATCTACAACATATGCCATGAAGAATCCCACCATTGCCGCTCGACCTAATTACAAAGCAACAAAAATTGAAATTGGGTGTATAAGTTCATGTGACGTATAATAAAGCAATGCGTGCAGCAAGAGATGTAATTCTAATAACAGAGAAGTGTGAGTGTGTGAAGTGATGGGTGATTGGAAACAACCGTTGATCAGCTCAGCCTCCGGGAGATAAGATCTCATCATCCATGCCCACCATGGTATGATGGAGCTCCTAAACACTACCGGGTCATCGTTCGTAGATGCTTCCGGGTGAAGCTCAAGGAACTTCCTCCTTTTAGCTTCTGCAGTGCCAACACATAAAAAATCAACGATGTTCTAATCGAATTTTATATTTGGATTAAATGGAACAGAAGCACAGAAAAATTACAACTCAAACTGAATAAATTACAAACCTGCTAGAATCATGCCATCCCAATCCATCTTGCCATTTTTGGAAAACATATTCAGATCCCATGTCCCATTCTTCCACCTTTCGTCCCTGAATTTCAAGACAGACAACTCTGCGCCCCCGAGACCATCCTCTGATTTGGAGTCAGCAGCATCCTCTGCCTTGTGTTTTTCGACGCGTAAAGCAGATTCCTCTTGTGCAGATACGTTCAAACTATTTGCTACCACATTCAGAGCAACAACATGCGTTGCTTCTTTTGTCCCCAAAGAGCGAGCTCCTGGTTTCGATTGGGGCTGTTTTGTGACTTGATGTGAGCTGCAAACTGTTTGCAGTGAAGCAGAAATGGCAATTGAAGCCATAGCCTTATCTGAGAGATTTTTTTTTCTTTTTGTTCTTGTTGATTTGGTTCTTCAGCTTCTTGATTTCTTCCCCTTTTGCAAATGAAATTGTAGATAGAATTGCTGAAAGTGGGGAGGAAAGCCCATGCTTTGAAATTTGAAAGCTTATCCTCCCTCTCCTTTTTTTGTCAGTGAAGTTATGGGCAGCCTTTTTGCTGCATCTGCTTTAAATATTACTTTGAAGAACAAGTAAAAATTGCCAGAAGTGATTGCCAAAGAAATCACTCCTTGGAAAGGGGAAATAATTTCCACACACCCCCTTGCTTGCACACTCTTGTTTATTTTTGTTCATTAATTCTTCTTTGATCTAATTCAATCCAAAGATTAAAAATAAACAAGGGCGTGCAGGGGAAGAATAATGCACTCAAATCTCTTTTCGAGATTAAATATTGCATGGAACTATTTACCATAAGCACTACTGATGGGAGTATAGGAGCAGAAACTAGCAATTTTATCATTTAAGACACATTGAAACAAGAAAAATCAGAATTTTTTTTTCTTAATAAATCAATCCCTCTAATCAAATACAAATTCTGAATGCAAACAGTTACCGCCGAAAAAGAGAGCCGAGAAATTTGGAGGTAAACTAAGAATAGCTTCAAATCTGCCTTCTTCAGCTATGACTATATATGTAAAGGGGGAAAAAAGAAATGCAACAGGCTAACAGAAGAAGCTCCTTATGCTTCCCAACCCCTTAAGTTGGTGGCGCGCGCAACCCGGTTTACACCCAATGTGAAGGCACCCATTCTGAGATTACAATCATAGGTCTTGCACATGCTCTTGATGTTATGAAATGCCCGAGTCATGTACCTCTGAAGCTCGTTATTCACTTTCTCTTCCTCCCACATAAACCCTTGAATGTTCTGCAACAAAATAAATCGAATTTCAGTATGTTAAAATTATGTCTCTAATATTCAAATGCAACTTAGAAAAATCGAGCTAAAGTCCTGTCAGTCACCTGAACCCACTCAAAGTAGCTAACAGTCACACCACCAGCATTTGCATATATGTCGGGGAGTATTATAACTCCTTTCTTGGATAATATCTGCATCAATAAAAAATCATCTCAGAACTGGAACTATCTTTTTCCGTATTCAAAATCCCGGAAGAATGAAAAGGTAAAAGTACCTCATCAGCTTCTGGATCGGTAGGGTGATTTGCTGCCTCAACGATGAATTTTGCTCTCACAGATGAAGCATTTTCCCTTTACAATAAGATGATTAGAACAGATCAATCAATGACAGTGATTCTGCAGCCAATCGATGTAACATTGTACAAGAAACAATGAAAGCAGTGATTTTGTCGGAAAAAGGCTCAAACCTGTTCAAAACTCCACCTAAAGCAGAAGGGATGAGAACATCACATTCGTGTATAAGTATCTCATTAGGGTCCATGTTATCTCCGCCACTGAAATTTAACAAACTCCCAGTGCTTTCCTTGTGCTTAACCAACTCAATGATATCAAGTCCATTCGGGTTCTTAACTGCACCAGTAATGTCACTCACAGCAATGACCTTACCACCTTTCTCATGTATAAGCTTTGCTGCCCAGGATCCCACGTTTCCGAAACCCTATAAAAATTCACCCAAAACTCAACTTGTTTACATCATTACCGAAACTTCTTAACAAACATGACAGCATCAAATGTGCATACATACCTGAATAACAAAAGTCAAGCCCTTGCATGACTTCCCATATTCTGCAAGTAAAGCTTCTGTTCCAAAAACAACACCGCGTCCAGTTGCAGCCTCCCTACCTAGTGATCCCCCAAGATCCTAAAATCCCAAATACAAGAGATAACTTAGACAGTTCCAGTGACATATATTTGATCCAATTCTAGGAAACCGATTTTTGGCTTAATTTTCTCAGTGTCGAATACTTACTATGGGCTTTCCAGTGACAACAGCTGGTGAGTGACCATGAAATTTGGAGTACTCATCCAAAATCCATGCCATGGTCTGAGCATTGGTGCCCATATCGGGTGCGGGAACATCAGTATGAATTCCAATGAGATCATGGATTTTCTGAGTGAAGACGCGAGTCAGACGCTCCAACTCGCTCATACTTAAGTCCCTTGGGGTGCATCCAATTCCACCCTTGGCTCCACCATATGGAATGTCTGCCACAGCAGTCTTCCAGGTCATCAGCTGAGCCAGGGCATTCACTTCATCCGGATCAACCTTTAAGAAACAAACCAACAACAAATTCAATACAGAATTCACCAACAGAACATACATTTCGCTAATCCATACCCATTTTTTCTTGTGTGATTGCATATGAACAGTTTATCCAAAAACACAATTACATGTAACGCAAATGCATCATTACACTAGTTCTTAACATATTTATGCAAATCTAATCTCTAATTAAAAATTATACCAGTTCGATTAGTACCCAAAAGTTCAGAAACAAAGTTCATGCCTTTTTTTTTTTTTAATTACTGAAAAGAATCGAACCCTGAACATATCATAATCCTAACACGTTACTCTCACCCCACCCTCGCCATTTGGACCGAAAAGCTAATATCTTTAACGATCATTCCTCCCTCCTGGCCTTTTTCTGGAATATGATGATAAAAGTATTCAGTTTTATCTCCAAAAAAACAATCAAATCACTGGACCCCAAAACCCAAATAACATCTTGTCGAACAGAAAACAAGTAGATCAAGAAAAAACAAGAAAAACAAAATACAAAACCAAATTTAGACATCATCCTCACCTCAGGATGATATCTGATCCCTCCCTTCATTGGTCCACGTGCATTATCATGTTGCACTCTGAATCCAACGTACGACACCAAGCTTCCATCGTCCTTAGGAATTGTGCACTCCACCTAATCAACACACACACACACACACACACACACACACACACACAAAGTTCAGAACTTTCTCGAGAAACAAACAGAAATTAATCAAAACATTTACTCTAAACAAAAAAAAAAGACAGAAAAAGCAGCTGATGAACAACCTTGATCTCTCTGAAGGGGATCAAGAGACTCTTCTCAATTTTAGCATCGAGTCCCAGAATACGCGCGGCGTTTTTGAAATTGCGGCTTGTTGCTGCGAGGGCGTTCATGGCTGCTGATCAAACTCGAAAACGGAGAAAACCCAGAAAAAATGACGTGATGGGAAATGCTCAAAGCACCAGAAAAGCTCCAAATTTATAGGAAAGTAACTTGGGTTGTGGTAAAAATGGTGAAATGGGGTAAATGAGACAGTCAAAAACGAAGACTACGAGTTGGGCAAAGGGTGAAGTGGTTGGTGAGTATATATAGGGGAGGAGGAGTAGAAAATGAAAGCTGAGCTGCCACTGATTTTAGGGAGAGAAAGTAGAGAGAGAGGGATTAGCGCTGTGTGTATGCTTAGATGGATACACTAATCAGGATTTATAGGGATAGGATTGAAGAGCTTGGTCAAGCAAATAGCTAACAAGAACAGTGGTGAATTTACGAAAAAGCCACTTGGATCTGATGTTTGGTGAGCTATGAGATGAAGGGTATAACCGTCAATGTGGTGAGCAGTCAAGGAAAGCCGGCAGGTTTTAAGGGGGGCGGCTCATCACGTGAAATTATGTGCATGGCATTAATTAAATTAAATTATATTTTAATTTGAATTTTTTGTTTGTATTTGTCACGCCACTTATTTGTCATCGAGTAATGCTATTCATACAATATTTTTATATTATATTTATATACCATCTTAGTTTTCATTTAATGTGGAAAGCCACATCATTTGAAAATTTTGCAAAATCCAAGGAAATGAAAGAGAAAAACTTATCGTATATCACAATCATCATTTTATTAACTAGTTTTTCTTAATTATTAGTTTATTAAATAATGAATTAAATTTAAAAATCTGATTAATTTAAATAATGTAACTATTCACATCAAATGTTACCTAAAATCGTATGAAAATATGGTATAAATAACATTACTATTTGGCATCCCAGTCCGTTGATTCCCCCAACTTCTTAGTAACAACTGCGTCACGACAACTCAGAGTTGAATGGGAGGGAGATGGGTGATGGCCAATGAAATTTTGCCAGGTGGAAAACAACCTCCTCGGGACGCCGCGCGCTAGGCTACTAGTTTGGACCGCGTTTCGCCGCGTTTTGGTGATGACGTGGAGAGAGACGATTGAAAGGAAAGGGGATGTCTCCAGTTAATTCTACCAAATCCACCAAAAATTTTAATTCGGATCCTTGAAATTTGATCTAACGGTTAAAGTTATTATAATTTTTAAAGAAGATCCTTATTTTTAGCCGTTTGATCAAATTTTAAAGATCTGAATTAAAGAATTTTGTGGATTTGGTAGAAAAAATCCAGAGATGATCATTGATTGAAGGGAGTTTTAACGAAAAATCTGCGGTAACCATATTTTTACACTAAAAAATCAAACCTGGTACAATTTACTTTACCTTTTATTTTGTCTTTATCCTTAAAACTCAAAATTTTCAAATCATTTTCATTAGTTTTCTTTTGAATAAAATGGAAGGTGACTGTATAACGTGTTGGTTTTGATTTTTATCCTTTTTATTTGCTTGAAAATTAAAAGGTGCCGTGCTGTATCTGAACTGTATTTATTTTGTTAAAATATTGGAATAAGTTTTTTTTATCTCTTTGTTTCTACATGTGGAGATATTTTTCAGTGTGACTGATACACGGGGTGGTACCCATGTGTCACTAAACAAATGGTGGGATATGTGTGCTAAAAAGTTAATACCTTAAAAAATATAATTTCTCACCGTTCATATTAAAACACGTGATGTACCACTTGTGTTCCCGTCACAACTAAAAATTTCTCCTACCTACCTGTGGTTTGGAATAAGCTAGGTCACTCATTTGGACAGACGTTTCGCCGCGTTTTGGTGATGACGTGGAGAGAGAGATGAAAGATTGAAATGGAAGGTGACTGTATAACGTGTTGGTTTTGATTTTTGATTTTTATCCTTTTTTATTTGCTTAAAATTTAAAAGGTGCCGTGCGGTTTCTGAATTATATTTACTTTGTTAAAATATGAAAAAGCTCGGTCTCAGCACATTATGATTGAATTTGGAAGGAGAACGTGCTTGGTATCTAAATACGTGAATAGCATGCTCTAATCTTATAATGTACGACCGAGCATTCAACACAAATCTTTTGGTAAAAATTTGGTAAAAATTGGAGACCAAAAAGGTCCAAGCTTTGGTGATTTCCTTAAGAAAATAGGCACAAGCGATGAGATTCATGAAACGTTCGATTTCTCTCTTCTTGAAACTTTGTCTACTTTGCTAGCACCTAAAGAACATCAATCTTTTTACACAAAAGAGGGGGAATCAAACTCAAAATCTCGAGCACAACGGCAAACGCTATTAACTTACATACAAATCCCAAGCAAATATGACTCATGAAATCAGATTTTCATGTAATTAGTCTTCATCAAATGCTTGAAGGCAAATAATGATGTATACCGCTTAGCCATCGTATCATCATGGAGTTCAAATTCGGAGAAAAATCATTCCGATCAATCCAAGGCAAAGTACCTTTTACTCTACCAGTAAAGATTGACAACCCGATCGAAGGGCAGTTCTGAGTTAGGCTTTTAGCAAGGCACCTCAACAGATCTTCAACTCAATCGAAACAAGTAGCGGGCATAAACAAAACTGTCTTCCAGAAGGTCTTCTCAAAGCTTTGTGATATAACGTCACGGTCTCACCAACCAAACTCCCAAGTGCTCATAAGTGCCCTCAAAGACTCTAACATCATATCGTCAGAATGTCTTTGAAAGATGGAAACTGCCGCACTGCACCTTCAGTTCTTGACCATTCTCCTACAATCAACGACAATTTTCAAAACACGTACTAAAAGCCTGAAATATAATGAACAAGATAACTTATCGCAGCCAAAGGCCATTCTTTCCATGATTTCAAAATACAGTAAATATTAGAAGTGCCAAGATTCTGCCACTGGATAACGAAAATCGCAGACCATCCATAATCTCAAATGGTCAGCCAATAGGGTAAACATACCATTGCACTAAAATGCAGTGCAGATTAGTTGTGAATATACTTTAATTTAAATGAAATGCTAAAAAAAAAATGATACAAAGAACTCCTTACAACACAATTTTCCCGTCGTGTAGGCCAGACAAAAATTAAGGTGCCCATCTACTTGAAAACATTAAACTAGTACAGCTTTGAGATCAATGAAATGAGCATCTTATACGTCACTCTCACCAAAATGGCTCAGATTTTTTACTAGTTCGCTCAAAGAACAACTGCAGAGTAGCTGTTCTCACCCTGAGAGGTGTAGTTTAACAAGAGCACATCATCATTGCCATGTATAGGTGGGAGGGGGAACAAAGACTATAACAAAAAACCACGAACAATTAGGAGGGATATGATATGTTCACAACACCTGGTAGCCACTTGATCGGCACACTCCCTTGTGGTATTTTAACACCCAATCCCACCCCAAGAAAAAAGACAAAACGAAAGAAAAGAAGAAGAAACAGAAACTTCTTTGGTTCTTTTCCTTTCTCCTCCCAATTTTCAGCTGGCGGTGAAAATTACATAATCAGATGGAATATGCGGAATGTGATAAACTAGTCACTGAATGCTACCGCTAACCAATAATTTCATAGAGCAGAAAGATTTTGTGAATTAGCTAATCACTATCAAAGAAACAAGAGAGAAATGCAGAAGCGGTGGATACTATATATTGCCATAATGTTAATCTCATAAGCCTGAAGACCAAGAAATTAAAACTTACCTCGCCTGATTTATTTTCCATTGCTGTTATTATGTATGATATTGTCAAGTTAACCGTCTTTCCTATAGTAATAACCACATGCATAAATCAGGCAACTGATCTAGTATGGTCTTTTGGTTAAAAATTGCAGAAAACATGTCCTTCCAGAATAACAATTAACATGAACTATATAAAGTTTAATTAACATACTTCCTCTTTCGTCGATCAACCCCACTATTCCTCGGTTCAACTTTTGGAGCAGACCCAGGGGGCATAGCATACTGCATAGGAGAAGGGGCTGGAGCAGTTGCTGTCACAGAAACAGTTGTAGCCGGCACAGGTGGAACGGGAGGCACAGCATGCTGAGGTGGTGCAGGTGGTGGAAGTGCAGGAACAGGTTCAGGGAGGGATCTCGGTAATATATGTTTTAAACGGTTGTTCCTATAGTTCTTCCAGAAGTAGAATTGCTGCCTATGTGCCAATTCCTAGAAATAAAAAGAAAAACCAGATGAATATGCTGCTGGCTTCAACATACAGTTCCAAAGAATTAAAATTTCAAGGGAGAAAATGCATACAGAGACTGACCTTGTTTCCGGGATGTGCCATTGCAGCGCGAAAGTTCGCATTTTGAAGTTGCTCAAGAAAAAACAGGCAATGAGGATACCTGAACAATTACAAGAAAACATGTCAAGGGACAGAAATTAAAACCTCAGAAAACAATGTAAGACCATTCAACCAACTCCAAACGACCACAAAGCTATCACACGAGACGGGTTTCCGCTCACATTATAAATCTCGTATACTCGGGACGCTGCCAATACTGAAGATGTTTCAAGTACCCAATGAAAGCCTCATCCTCAAAGTAACGATTCTGAGCCAAATCTACATTACATATACAAAATGCAAGCTGCAGGGAATCAAATGCAAGGACAAACTTAAGGGGAAAAAAATCCAAATAGTAAGAGAGATATATACACACACATACAGTGAATGTAGGTGGGATTTGCGAGGCACTGGACGAACTCCAATTCGAGCAAGAATCGCTGCCGGCCGTCATCTGGGTCCTTGTAAATACTGTTTGTCCTGAAATTACAAGCACAAATCAATCAATCGAACGAGTTCGCTCTCTGTTGCAATCAAATGGGTAAAATTTAAGAAATTAGCTAAGATGTGTTTGGCAGCCGAGAAAGTGGAGGAATCAGAAGGAAAGGCAGAAACTTTAGTGATGAATTGAACTGAAAGGGGAAAGGAAGAAGGTGGGTTTGCTTACGGGGGTGGAGTATCGGCTGTGTCATCACTCTCTGTGCCGGACGCCATTAAATATCAACACTTCTAATCGGAAAGCACCCATATTTCGGAAGCGATCCCGAATCGTCCCCTTTTTCTAGCTTCTTCTGTAAGTTACCGTACCCAGACGGAACAGTAAGGAACGGAAGATGTAAATATTGAAAAAGATAAGGAGAAATTTTGTCATAAAATGTTATAAATTTGTCACGGATGTGGAACGGATCGTTTTAGGGAGAAGAGGTGGAACGAAAAATCAGCCAAATTTCGTCCATGGGACAACCCGTTCCATAGTTTTTAGGCGCACCAAACGTGAGACGGAACGGCTCCCGTTCCGTCCCGTCCGGTCCCACATACCAAACGGTTTTGTAACAACTAAAGCAACGAGTATGGGCCGGGCCGGCCCAAACAGACCCCAATCACAAAATGACTATCTAGCCCAGTGCGGCATTGTCACACACAGTCACTGTTTTTAAATAGTGATAATGTTAGACTATTTGAATTGGCCCTGCAGTTTCTTCCTTCTTAATGCAAACAAAATCTGGCAAACATGTTTAAAGCAGATTTTTGGTTGCTTAATACGATAGTTAACAAAATTAGTATATTAAGAACCTACAAAAGGGACCTAATGCAGCTTTTACATGGTTAAATCAACAGTATATTATCCCGGATTTTGTTTGCATGGTTAAAACAGATTTTTCTTGCATTTTGTTTGCTTAATCCGACAGTTTGATTTTTGTATCATCTGGAGCAGTTCATCACGTATTAAGAACCTTTTATACAAAACAATTTGTGCAACACTAGTTTAGTAATTTTTGTTTTTTTGTTAGACCTTGTGATTGCAACTATCTGTTTATTCAATTACTTGTTTGCTTGCATATTGTTTTTCTTTTTCTTATTTCATGTATGCGATAGATCTCGTATTGAAGTTGTGAATTTAGAGGAAAAGAGTTGCACGCGCCTACAATTTGATCTTGACCAACTACTTTGCTCACATGCTTGTGCTGCATGTAGACACTGACAAATTTCATGGTATCATATGTGTTCCCATTATTATACCATAAACTCTTTAGTCATTGCGTATGCAAAAGCTATATGGCCAGTTGGAGATCAGATTGATTGGATAGTAATTGATGATGTGATTGAAATAATTGTCCTACCACCAATTACACGAAGAAGAAATGGTAGGCGCAAAGAAAAGAGGATCACATGACGTGGAGAAGAAAAATCAACTCAAAAGTGTTCAAAATGTGGTTCAAATGACCATTATAAACAAAACTTGTAGGAATTCCGTTCCACTTCATCCTACTTTGTGAGAGATTTTTTAATGTGACCGGAACGTGAGGTGGTACACCATGTGTCATTATACAAATAGTATGATATGTGTGTTCAAAAGTTAATAACTTAAAAAATACAATTTTCCACCACTTATAAAAAATACACGTGGTGTACCATCCGTGTTCCGGTCACAATGAAAATTTTCTCCTACTTTGTAGAACTTTTATTATGTTTAGGTGTAGTGAATAAATATTTTGAAGTCGAGACCTAACAAAAGAAGTAAACCCGAAGTGTCGACTTATATGATCTTATCAATTCTTTTCTTTGAAATTTTTTTTTTCAATAAATCATGAATTTGTCTAGACTGGTTTATGTTTAATGTAAGTATGTTTGTTATAGCCGTTTGTGTGGAGTGTGTCAATTGAAAGAGGAGGGGAGAGAACTCAAATGCCGACAAGGGGATGTCGTTGTTGCATAGCTCAGGTCGGAGTTTTGACCATCATATTATTATTTTAGATGTACGTACAATCATTTAAATTTGACAAAAAAGACAATCCTTGGATTTTGGATATCTGCACTATACACTATACATGAATTCCTTTTTGCTGGGACCGTAAATCTATTACAAGGACATAGAATTTAGTTTGAAGTTGAACATATGTATAGTGAAGATGACAATTTCATTGTGCGTGTTTATGAATTTTGTTAGTGCTAGCTGAACATGATCAGGCCAATTTTTCTATGCCGTATTTGCCAACAGAATCAATCATCGTAATAGTCTTTAATTTCATGGGTCAACAATACTTGATTATAGCACAAAAAGTATTTGAGTTAACAACTAATTATACATATAAATTGAGGGGTATTTTTATCTATTTAAGTAAATTTAAGATATATTTGAACGCTTTTATAAAAAAAATGATATTTTTAATTTAAAGGTTAATATTTGGTTATATTTGATAAATTCTCTTATGAGTCATCTAATAATAAGTTTTAACGTGGAGTGTATGTACTAATAAAAAAAACCCTAATTTTTTTTTAATTATAATCTCTCTTACTAGACCCCTCCTCTTCCTCAATTTCTCCGGCCTTTTTTCTTGATCTTCTCACTTTTCCGTCTTTTTTCGTCTGTCTTTCCTCTCCTTCTCCGTCTTCAGTTGAATACTTTTACGTCTTTTTTCGTCTGTCTTTCTTATTCTTCTCCGTCTTCAGTTGAATACTTTTCCGTCTTTTTTCGTCTGTCTTCTTCTTCTTCTTCTCCGCTTTCAGTAATTGAATAGAAAAGATGCGTCTTTTTCGATGATATCAACATCAACCCACCTGTACCTCCCAAAAATTTCCCCAGACTATATAAATATTGCGCTTAGACGCTCGATAGTTCAATTCCTCGAGTCCCCTTGCCATAAGCAAAGGTTTAAGAACTGAATAATATGGGAGTTTTGATGTGGCAGGAGCTGGAGGCTTGATATGGGCATGAAGTTTGAAGGGGTTGAAGGGGAGATCTGGGTAGGGTCGACGTAGGAGAGTTTTGATGTGGCAGGAGCTGGATACTGAATAGGCAGTTCTCAAGTATCCCCCTCCGCTGCCAAATTTGACAGCAGTTTCAAATATTTTTTAATTAATTATTAAATGTTTTTTATTAAAATTTTATCAAATCTGCTACTCTTCTTCGGGAAAAGCGCTTTCTTTTAAGAATGTATCTGGTTCCATCTTTCTTTCTTTAGTTAACCCACTTTTTTCCAAAAGGGATTGTAGTAATTCAAGTTTTACACTTTTTGCCTAGAATTTGTTTTTCAATTGGACGTGGTGCATATTGTGGTTGTTTCGGTACTACATGAGAATCTCAACCCCATCGTCTTCTTCTTCCCTTTTCTGAGAACCAAACCCCGAAACAAACATCACGATCTCAACCTAAAACCCTGAAACAAACGGTGTTTGGATTTCGATAAAGAGGAGAATTGGTATGGTTTGGTTTGCATGGATTGCAATAGTCAGGAGGAGTATAAAATGAAGGACAAAACTTGTGTACTCAATGGGGAGTATGTAATATACTGACCATCCTATCAAATAACGACACGCGTCATTTTAGACCCCACCCACTCTAACTACAACTAGTTGCCAAACATTCCTATTCCTAGTGCCAAACATTCATATTCTTGCATCCAAACATCCTGCTTCTCCCTCACCAACCTTCACCAGACTGTTCTCCCCATAGCCCTCAATGCCGGCCAGTAGCCCACCCTTTCCACCACTTCCCTCATGCATCTCCTTCTCTTTGTCTCATCATAGTCTACAATTCTGAACATAGAACTTCAAAATTCCAATCTCGTGATTTTTCACGAGCTCTAATCTCAAGGAATTTCAAAACCCAGTTTTGACGAGTGGGTTGGATCACACGTAGTGGGGTGGGTCATCGCAGAAGAGAGGATTGAGGATGAGTGGCCGGAGAAGAGACGGAGTGAGGTGGGTTGCTGAAGAAGAAACGGAGAGTTTTCTGGAGATGGAAGGCCGGGAAACGAGGGAGAAGAAGGTTGTTTGGCCAGTGAAATAGTGAATGTTTGGCTATAAAAATAGTGATGTTTGGTTGCGTGTTTAGGGAATTTAGATAGACATGTGTCGTTTAATGATTGCTCCACCTAACAAGGTCAGGATATTGGGTCCTCTCCAGTGAGGATCCAAGTATTGTCCAAAATGAACAAGTGTTATAATTTTATTGGGTCACATAATATGGTCAGTAACTTGGGTACTCTCTGGTGAGTACCCAAGTATTATTCGAGATGTTATGCCATGTTGGATTTAGTTTCTCGATTAGAAAACATTGTGTTATCTTTTCTTACCGTTATTGTTAATATTTACATTTTGATATAATGTTGTACTTAATATAGTAATCTTTTTTGAGAGAGGATCCTCGCCGGATCCTCTTTATGAGGATCTCTGGAATCCTCTAATCATATCTGTTTATCGTATATTGTGCTGTCAGTTTTTGTCAGGTACTGTTTATATTCAATTTTAAATAAAAAAAATTTATAATAATTTTTAACCGCACGATATATGATGAATGGATGTGATTTAAGGATTCCAATCCTCACAAAAAGGATCCGGCGAGGATTTTTTTTTTATATGAAATCTCTCTTCTCCCTCATTTTCTTCGGCCTTTTTCCCCTATTATCTTCTCATTTTCTCCGTCTTCTTCATCTTCTTCATCGTCATTAAAATAGCGGATTTTTCGATGATATCAACATCTTCCGACCTGTAACTTTCAAAAAAGCTTGCCTTTTTCGAAACCTGACAAGCCCAATATTCCCTCCTTTGGACTATCGAATCCTTCTCTCCTGCCATGGAAGCAAAGGAAAAGAATTGAATAATATAGGAGTTTTGATGTGGCAGGAGATGGAGGCTTGATCTGGGAATGACGTTTCAGTTTCGTAGTCTTTCTGCCATTCTCTATCAAAGTTGTGAGAACAGTTCCAGATGATATGTTGGCACGGCTTTTTCTCGACTGAGCTTTCAAGTGTTTTGTTTTGTTTTTACACGGTTGGTACTTGGTAAGGATTTTTTTGCTAATTTAATCAAAAGGAAACGAAATAATTATTTCCACCTTACCAAAAGGCATATGCCTAGAAATTCATGAGACTAATGCATTTACGTAATACAATCACCATATAACTAAAGCATCCCGTTCTGGTTTGGGGTTCTTCGGTGCCCTTTGATATGATCATCAGCTCCTTCATTTTGTCACGGACATAACGAATTGCTGCCTTCATTCTGTCACAGACATAACGAACACCTGCCTTCATTTTGTTACAGACATGACGAACACCTGCCTTCATTTTATGACGGGCATAACGAACAGCTGCA